ACAAGCTCCACGAACAATTGAAGGACGCATATGAGCTAGTAAAAATTCATATGGCACGGGCGTTCCAAAAACAAGAGAAATCCTACAACTTAAGGAGAAGGGCCTGGAAACCACAGATCGGAGATATTGTATGGAAACGGGCGCAAACACTATCCAATAAAGAGAAAGCTATCAACTCAAAATTAGCACCAAAGTACATGGGACCGCTAACGGTAAAAAGAATCATCTCACCAGTAATTGTAGATCTAATCGACGAAAACAAAAAATGGCACAAACACATACATATACACGACCTTAAACCGAACAACAACGATTAGATAACAAACAAAATTATCCCCCTCCAACCAAATAATCAAAGAGATCGGAGGAGAGAATTAGGATTAAAAGAGCAAGCCGAGGATAATGAGGACACTAGGAAGTGAGCCAGCGAATATCAGACAAAGAAAACAATATGAAATTCAACCGGGAATTGAAAAATTGGCTTGAAAACTGGGAGCCGCCAAAAGAACCATTATCCGAGCAACAGGAACATAACTCGAGTCGGTTTTGGCCCGACACGCTGAGAGCAAACACAGCACAACCGAGGCAAACAAATAAACACACCAAGGAGCGGGAAAACAGAGATATAAAGGAGACAGAACCGCAGCCCGAAAGAAGAGTCGTCAATCAACAATGGATATAGACAAAACCATCGACGAACTACTAACGACATGGAACGAGGCAAAGGTTCAGGCCCTATGGGACACGCTAGTCAAAATCGAAGACGCAAACCGGAACACAGAGGAACAAGGGCGAGCGGCAAGGAGGAAGCTCCCACCAGGGAAGAGACCACCAACAGACATAACAACCGGAAAACTAAGGAAAAACCAGCAATCCCCTGCCTAAAACCGCCACTGTCAGCCAGAATCGCACATCGAAAACGCCAAGAATTGATGGGCAAACAAATACCACCATCACCACCAAAAAAAAAACCGACTGCACATCAGACCAACGACATGGAGCGGACACACTGACGAAAAACCAGCGACAACGGATACAAGCCAGACATCGAACCGGGCCTCCATCAACCCACACACCAACAACAGGGGCAAGCCTCCGCCGGAAGCAGAGCGAAACCAACGGTGAGGGTAATATCAAACGAACCATGTCCGACGAAAATACGGGTAGTAACACCGATAGAAGAACCGCGGCGCACAACAAACAAATCGCCAATCCGCGTACAAATCACCAACGGGCGTACCGTCGACGTACCATATTATGCGGCTCATATATCGAACAAGTACAGGCGGTATGTCGACGGAGAACTATGGCGATTTAAGTTTTCGAAAACCGGCGAATTGACAGAGTAAAATAGAACGAAGTTGACAAAATAGTACGCAAGAATAGAATTAAGATTAGGATAGGAATAAATCGAAAATAGAATTAAGATTAGGATATAGGTATAAATCGAAAATCTAATTAAATATCATGGTGGAGGGTAGACAATAAGCATTGAATAGAGAGTTAAGTTAGAATTAAGTTGCGAGTGCCCGGGACAGGCATTAAAAAGGGGAAGGTAATGTGACGATCCAAACTCGTCACGACGTTAGAAACAATAGTTATAATATTAACAAAGAAACGCCGAACAACCGCGCGCGGGATAACCGCAAAGTCAACAAACAGCCTCACTGTTTGTTATAATTTAGTATAAAAGGCTGTTACAAAACGATAGCCGGGGAGATCGATCGGAAAGCTCCTCTTAGGCGCACGACCGACCAGAACTCAAAACTCCTAAAGATCCTAGACATCCCGTCGACCGAAGTGGATACGCGACGTCGACATCCTCTCTCCGATACCGCTCTACCGACCGAAGTGGATACGCGACGTCGGTTTCCTATACATACATCGCTCTACCGACCGAAGTGGATACGCGACGTCGGTTTCCTATCCATCCATCGCTCTACCGACCGAAGTGGATACGCGACGTCGGTTTCC